ATGGATTTTCTTTTCAGCTTCCAGTTCAAACTTGAAATCGTGAAGGGTATGAAAATGGTTTTTCTCTCCCTCTTTGGAATATCATCCCTGCAGAACTTACACTGACCCCCACTTTGACACTTTTCCATAATGCGCTCAAGCCAATGGGCCTGGGGAACCCAGAATGGGATGGAGCCCATGTGTCCATTTAAATGAAGTCTGAGGAAAGCAGAAGTGTAAAATTTAAGATGTTAATGAGGAAGAAAAATCATAAGGTTGTTTGGAGTTCAAGAGAGACAAAAATACCAATCAGTGCTAACAAGCTTTGTCTTGTCAGAAGATAAACTCCATAATCCTATCCTGACCTGGGGGAAAAACATTTTTTTTAATCTTTTCAGTTTAGCAACGTTAGAAGCTAATGAATCAATCCATACCGCAATAGGATAAAGTTTTCTACATTCCAGTCTGCAATCGTTTGATCACTTGAAAGAGAGAAAAAATAGTCAAACTACAAAAAGCTATGATAGTTACGAAGTACAATACTACAGGGTCCATCTTTGCAGAAATATTATATATATGTAGTGCTCCAGCTGTTAAGGATATCTTGTTTGACTGTAAACTGTACTCCGTGGCCAGGAACAATTACTTAAAATCTAAGAAATCGTGAGACACACAGAATAAAGTATACTATTTGCAGAGAATGAATTTGGATTACTAGAAGTCTTTCACACTAAAGGCTAAGCAAAAAGGAGTGGACCATTTAAACTGAGCTTGATTACAGGAATGACGATATATTGGACAATTGTGTGTGTGTGTATTGTTTTACAGCTTCTTAGTACGGTTAAATAATTAATTTAAAAACTGCTTGAATTGAAAACTCTTAGTTTTCCTTCACACTGAAAATACTTATATAAATTCTAGTTTGGAGAACGTTCTTGAACATATTTAATGAAAACGTTTGTTTTCCTAATGAAAAATATGCGTGTTAAACAGTTATCTGGAGACATTTAAAACGATCTCATTTTAAGAATTGATTTTCTGAACGAGAGAAAACTTACAGCATTGCTTCGCAACTGGCCGGTTAGCTCAGTTGGTTAGAGCGTGGTGCTAATAACGCCAAGGTCGCGGGTTCGATCCCCGTACGGGCCAACTGTTTTTTGTTTTCTTTGAACGAAAACAATTGTTTCGCGTTTTCTCACATTATTCAGTTTGCTTTCCAGTATATAATTTAGGTTTTGCTGAGATTTCAAATTGTCCTCTGTATCAGATTGTACAGCACCCGAAATGTGCATTTTGAATCCCCTATACTGCCTATTTAACAGTGAAAAAATAAAACGTTTTGTTCCACCGAAGAAGGAATTATTACAGAAAAGAATGAAGTTACTTTTAATATAGTCTATCATACTTATTAAATGGGACATTAGAAGGCGAGAAAAATTGAATGAGGAACTGCCGTGACTCGGATTCGAACCGAGGTTGCTGCGGCCACAACGCAGAGTACTAACCACTATACGATCACGGCGCGCCACTGGAGAGCCGATAAACACGTTTGGTAAAATGATACATAACAGACTTGCCAAAAAAAAAAAGGACAACTAACAATGGAGCATAAAGCCTATTTGGTTTTTCTCTTTTCCGAGATACTTTCTCTGGAACTTTAAAACTCTCTTGCTTTATTTTTGCTTTGGGTTTTTAATCAGCAGAAACAAAAGGGACAAAAAGAGGGTTAACCAGCAAAGGAGAGCGAACCAGGCGGCAAGAATCCGTTTCTTCCCACGTGTTGAGCCTTGAGCAACCCGATGCCGGGTGAGCGAGCGCGGCTTTTCAAACCGAAGCAACGTTTCGGTTGCCAACGTTTTGGTTGCCACTTCTGCCACGTTTCAAAGAACGGAGGGCGAGGCAAAAAAAAAAGACCATATAACTTCAGAAAGGTATTTCCATAAATGTGGGCTTTTAAATCCGGCTACTAAACAGCGGACTGAATTCAAACTCCTTGTTGTTGAGGAAAGGGTTATATCAGCTGAGCTCTCCCGCAGCTCGGTGGAGCTTATGGGAACTGAAAGTTGCTGTTACAAAACTGTAAGCAATACATTAGGAATACGTGGTTTCGATTAAGTGGGTTTAATCCCGAGCCTTTGCTTCTTGTGTACAACGGGCTACGTATAAGCTGCCCGTTCTTTGCAGACTTCGCACTAGCAAGATATCCTTCAAGCCTTAATAGGTTGGAAGATTTTGGAAAAGCTCCTGAACTGAATTGCTGATGCTTCTTAGACTTGAGATAATGTATTGCCCTTAAAATGACACGTGATTATGGGTGGCTCTCTATGGATAAAATGAATCCATTTATTTGGGGTTGGGAGCACTCATAGGTTTAAACGTGATTGCTATTCTCAAAGCAATGCATACCAAATTTGGAAGATCTCATGTTAAATTCACAACAGCCCAAAGTGTGAAAAGATCAGAGTTGTCAAGTTAGTTTGACGCTGCTGGGCCTGTCCGACTTTAATTTTACCCTTCCCAGTGAAGCTTATTGGAGGATCTTGGAACTTTTGATCTCCTCCTACTCCCCTAGATTGAATTGAATTTTATAGGATAAAACAAGGGAAGAACCCCGTTGAGTCTTCATGGATGGTGAGGGATAGAGGGTCACAACTGGGAGAACAACTATGTCGGCCAAACAGGAAGAAACCTATCAACCAGATTGCACAAACACGTCCTGGCCATCAAGAGACATGACCCTCTATCTCTCATGTCCGTCCACGAAGACTCAAAAGGACACAAATTTGATTTAACTGGACCACAGTTGTAACCCAGGGGAAGTCAAGGAAAGAAAGGGAATTCCTGGAAGCCTGGTTTTCCACCAATAAATCAATAAAGAGATTGCCATTGACCCAATCTATCAACCACTTAGAATGAAAGATCAACATCAACCACGATCCCGAAGGCAGCATTTAAAAACCAACGAACAGCCACGCTGCAAACAAAGTTATAACTCGACAGATCACAAGAAATTGGACCACATCACACATAGCTGATCAAATCAACCCGAAACCAGACCATGACATCTGAACAAACCCGAAACCAGACCATGACATCATCAGAAGACATCTGAACAACATCAGCACTAATTTACATCACACATACTTAAAACCAAGGCCTATAACTCAGCAACTACAACCAGCCAATCATACAAACTGAAATCAGACCAGGATTCAGAAGGGTATTTAAAGGCCAGTGCTCCCCTAGACAAGCCATAAGTACAATCCAAAGCGCACTGAAGATGTTTCCTCAAATGGGGATGAAACTTTTGTGACCAAATCGCCAAGCTTGGAGCTCAAACCGACAACATAACTACCAACCCGAGCTACTAATATTCAAAGATAGTATTGTAAATGTTTCTTGGATGAGAAACGAAATGTTTTGTTCTTCCTCAAAGAAAAAAGTCCAACTTTTGAAAAAGGATCTTTGAGTTACCTTCCCTGCCTTTAACAAGGAAATCAAGGCTATGGTTTCTTCGTATGAATTGTGATTTTGACTTCTGGGAAAAGTTCCAAATTAATATCTGGCTTCACTGGTGTCATGAAACATTATACTGAATTTTTTTTATATATAGAAACCTGTTTTTTGCTGGCAGGGAGTCTGTCAAGTTTGTCAATGGTGAGGAATAAGGCAAAATAAATAGCCTTTGGATTGTCAGAGCACTATCTTCTTTACCCTTAAATGCCAGGTAAAGCCCAATACCATGTACAGTGCAGTTTCTAAAAAACATATTCAGGTCAATGGTACAAACTTAATCACATCACCTGATTTTTGGACATCCCTGTTTATTCCCCATTCTGTATTTTATCAAGTCTTCCTGATGAAAGGTCTGAAAACCATGGATACTTGCAGGTATTTGGGACGTACCAACTGGCCGGTTAGCTCAGTTGGTTAGAGCGTGGTGCTAATAACGCCAAGGTCGCGGGTTCGATCCCCGTACGGGCCAACTGTTTCCTGTTTCTTTTCTAAACGGAAACAATTGTTTCGCGTTTTCTCACATTATTCAATTTGCTTTCCAGTATATAATTTAGGTTTTGCAGAGATTTCAAATAGTCCTCTGCATCCGATTCATAATGTACAGCACCTGAATTGTGCATTTTGAATCCCCTATACTGCCTATTTAACAGTGAAAAAAATTACGTTTTCTTCCACTGAAGAAGGAATTATTACAGAAAAGAATGAAGTTACTTTTAATATAGTCTATCAATGGTACAAACCTAATGGTTATCACAACGCCTAATTTTTGGACATCCCTGTTTATTCCCCATTCTGTGTTTTGTCAATTCTTCCTGATGAGAGATCTGAAAACCATGGATGTTTGCAGATATTTGGGTCCCAGTATTTGAATTTAATGGTATGACATGTAGCTGAACCCAAGATTTGGTTTACACAACAGCTAACATATTTAAGCTTTGCATGTTAGATGTTTTGATTATAATGCTGAATTCATTAAAGAATCATTTAAGTTAAATGAGCCATTTAGGCCACTGAGTCTAGCTCCATGTTTGGTGTAGAAATACACAAAGAATATCTCCAGTAGAAGGGATTGTTTAGCGTAACAAATATTTGAACCCACCCAAACAGAAGCACATTATCATCCTGGAATTGATTCCCCTTTCAAACTGGTATTATAGTTAGGATTCTTCTCTCCTAACTTTTATGCTGCATCATCATTCTTTAAGATTACTTTATGGTCTGAAGTCTTGAGTAATAAAAAGTTAAATTACTCAACATGAACTGAAATGCTTTATCAGAAATGTTAGCACTACGATGCTTGAAATAAAAATGCTACACAAATGTGTTTGTAGATCCAAATCTTTTATTCAGTTTTGGTTTTACAATACAGAAAAAATAAAGATCCCGCTATCAAAAATAATGTATCAATAACATATTGTGGCAGTACAGAAAACATTTTCAATTTTGCAAAACTCTGAAACAAAATTAAAAGCAAAAATTGAGAAAATCCTTATTCTTGCTCAAAATTGAAACACAATGTTTTAAAATGCTGCTGCAAATCAGAGGTCTAAAATTTTAAAAGTAATCATGTTAATGCCTCCTGCATATTTAATTAACAACACTCTTAGGAACATGATGCTGAAAAAAGCATATCAAACTAAGGAACATCTGATCAAAGAGAATATTTGCAGCTCAGGTTTGAACTGGGGAGGGTGTCCTCTGGTGCTCTCTGAGCTAGATGGTTTTCTTTTAGACATTTCATTACCAATTTAGGTAACATCATCAGTGCACTGATGCCCAGCAGTAATGTTATTTAACTTGGTAATGAAAAGTCTGTAAGAAAACCACATGAAGAGCCCACAGTAAGGAAGATATTTAGCACACTAACTGGCAATTTACCAATCACATTAAAGCATTGTCTGCAACAGCTTGAAATGCCTGTTCGTCTGTTCCATAGTTCTAGATTTTTATTTTTCTGCACCAATAAACACTGAAGAAAGTTTAAAGATGCATACAAATAATGAAGAAATAGTGTGAAAAAGTTGGGTTCACTAAGAAAATCTCAACTTTCTCAAGCTCATAAAGATGGGGAAACACCCATACAAATTTTGAATGTATTGCTATTCTTAATGTTAGAGAAGTTATTGAAAATGTCTAGAGATACTCATGGCTTTCCCCCTTCAGTTTCTGTCTGATAATGCTGAAGATCTATCTAGTAGACAAAACCAGAAGAGCTTCTTTTTCTTAAAATTTTCTTAAATGTTAGTTGTTTTTCATTTATTCTTTGCCAATATTCAAAACACAAAGTTGAACTTAAGCCAATGGTTTAGATTCAAAGATATCTTTCAGAACCTCATTCTAATGCAGCCCATTATCTCCTTAGAAGCAGACCAGGGTGAACCCAGGCGGCTTGCTGACAAGTACGGTAATCTGGTTATTCCAGCTGTGATGTGAGTTTTACATTTTTCTAAACCATTGTTAATATATAGCAGTTTGCAATTCCATCCAGGATTCCTGCAAACCCTTTTTATTGACTTGGCTTCAAAAAAAATATTAATGGGATTAGCTGGGGACTTAAGTCTCTGTTGACAAAAATGTAAAAAAAAAAAATGGCCAAAATTAAGCATTAGATATCTCTGTTCCTCAGAAGTTTGTTTCTGTCCTTACCATTACTTAATTCTTAAAACTTGAATTTGGACTATCCCAGCACATAGTTTACTGAAGGAAATACTTCTCTATGATTGTCTCAGCAAAAACCATATGTTTATGCACATACATGCAGTTACTTTATGAAGAATTGATTATTAGCACTTCATATAAGACTGTTACCTTCTCCCGAACATGTTTGCTGAGAAACATATTTCAAAAGAGTACATGAGAAAAATATTGGTAACCCGAGGAACAATACTACCTTATACTCTTCCTGAATTTAAGTTCCAATGTGTTCAACTGTTCAAACATAATGAATTTACACTTTTATGAATTTACATTTATCAAATTTACTACAGAAATTTAATTTGTTTTCATTAAAAACTCGGTGCCAAGTGCTATACAAATGCAAAACCAGGAGCTTGGGACCCTGATAAAAGGCTGGGCTGTATTTCACCTACAGTCAAGTACTGTGCTACTAAGATAATTTATCCATTTGTTCCACCATAACTGATAGTAGCCAATGCAGACATTTTTTCTGCAATTTAACAGATGATTACAAATCAGATGGACTAGCATTTCAGTTTAAATTACAAAAATCATTCTACTGGAAACTGATTGGCAAGAAACCAGAAAGACCTCAGGCAACAGAAGGCTGAACTGAATCTGTCAACAATTGTTTCTTTTGTGAAAAGTATGAAAGTGTGTTTAAATCTCTGAAAGAGGGACATGTAGTCTACACCTCAGTAACTTGCAGCACTTCACTACAGTCTGTTGTTCAGTGCATGATTTCTTGCCTTACTAGATCTTTACAGTTACATTAATACAAATGGTCAAGAATCTACAAAGGAGCAGTAGGTGGGTTCTAAGAGAACATTCACAGAGGATAGAATCTAATACTACTCCTAAGGCATGAGGTGAGAGAATAGATAAACATTCATTAACTGCCATGCAGTGACAGGTGGATTTGGGAGTCGGCAGCAGAACAAGTTCTTTCCTCATCACTGAACATGGCCAGCATTCTATTCACTGTGCCCAGTCTTTGGGATGGCGCAAAACTTCTAGGATTTCTGCTTCCTTGGAATTCTCTGGCGGTAAATGCATGTATTCCCATCTGAAAAATGGATGTGTGCAAAACAACTGTTAGTACTTTTCCCCTTATACACTATTTACAATGTCAGGTTTTAACATCCAAAGCAAAAAATATGATCTGTCCATTTCATTCTTACCTTATTGTGAATTTACCCCTGTTAACACTGTAAATAAAGCTTACCCAATAAAAATCTGTATAGCAGAGAAAAGGATTTACTTTCTATTATTTCCCCCAAAATATCAACACACAATTTCTAAAGCAAACTGCAGCTGAGCTTGAAAGACAAGGCAAAGCAGGCTATGCAGGTAAGACAGAAATAGAGAATTTCCAGAATGTCCTAGTTTCATTTATGTCCCTTGAATATTCTCCAACTAACTCCCTCTCCCCAGCCAAACAGACTCTCAGTTCAATCTCCATCCTAGTCTAATGCTTGGGAGAAGAGTTTGGTCTTCATGGCCCTCCAGAAGGCCAGATAAAGAGAATGGCTTTAAGTTTACTGCAATTATATCCCATCTTTTTTTTTAAAAAAGTACCTCACAAAGTGGTTTTGCTATTATGACCTTACCTGGCAGTGAGTGGCAGAGACATAAGAATACTTTCAATTCTTGATCCTGGGGTTGCAAGGCCAAACTTTGTGCCTCTATCATACACAAGATTGAATTCCACATATCTGTTGGAAACAAACGACGACAAAGGCATTCCTCTAATATCTTAAATGGCACTATTTTTTCTGATTTTGCTAACCACTGAAAAAAGCAAAAACAACATGGCACACTGCAATTTAATTACTGATCCTGCCTAGCTTTTACTCTGGCTTTCAACATTTCACAAAGCATTATTTACCTAGTTTTAGGATAGTCCTCAGAGACAACTATTAAAACACACATAGAAAGTCTTGAGCTGAATGCTCAATAGTTCAGGTTTCCATGGCTGCACAGACTCGTGAAACACATATTAATGAACTGTCATCATAAAGAGCAGTTTTAGAAATTATCTCCCCCCCACCCATTCAGATCCTTGGATAACAAACAGAAGCATCATTGAAACATGTAGTAACATTTTTATAACAATAATGGATCTAACAGCATCTTTCTAAAAGTATGGGGAATGTATTGTACTCTTACAAAGTAAATTATCCATCTTTTGCCACTTACATAATTCTTGAAAGAGGATAAGGAGATGAGGGGAATATGTCTTCTCTATACAAAATCCTTATTAACTTATTGCTCATATTTCCCTATTTTTTTTTTTTAAAAAAAACTTCATTTGTCTTCTTCACTGGAACAAATATTAAATTTATTATTTAATAAGATGTTTGAACTATAACACAATTTTCTAGAATATTTATTGGTCCTTTCACCCTAATGCATATATTTCTATAGCTTACAATAAAATTATAAAATATTTTTTATCATCATACAGGGTCAAGAACAGTTAATCATATGTTTGATGGAAAGACCGGATAAAATGTCAATAAGCATAAAAATAAATCAATTATTTTAAACTAGAAATCAAAGGGACAGTGGAGAGGATACTGAAATCACAACTGACATCTTCATATATGGCAAAAATTGGTGTCTGTCATAAAGATCAGAATCAACAATTTATAATTTGGGAAGAAGATAAAGAACTGATGGTAGAAATAGGGATAGTAAGATACTGCATTTTATGTGTACAATTTTGACTTATAAAGTTTCCTATTAAATTAATTTATTGTATTGTTATTTCTGTGGTTAGCCATAGAAAGACTAAGTATGACATGATACAGCATCTATTTCATAAAATGAAATGTGGGTGACAGTTACTTCATTTCAAAAACCTCATTCTTATCTTTCAGACCAGCCATAAGAAATGACAGTGGGTGGAGGTGGGGCTACAATAGTTACATGCCACATGGTTTATCATAAGACACAAAAGGCATTTTTTATTTAAAAAAATAAAGCCTAATCCAGAAAAATAGAATTCAATTCCATCTAAATAGAATGGGTAACATCAACAATTGTCATATCATCAGAAGACCTTAAGTTTAGAATTGGTGGATAGTTCCAACACTCAAAAACATGAAATAAAGCTATTTGGGAATAGCAGAAATCTTAAAATATAAACATGGAATGAGCCAAAAACACATACTTTGACAGCATTCAAAGTTTTAAAACCTTTTCCAAAATCATATTAAGATGTTAGTGCTTAATTTTAAAGTGCTGTACAATATCCTTGGAAATAAAAGATGGGAGGCATGTGTGTTGCAGTTATTAGATCTGAGTCTTCCAAAAGCCATAGTAATAGAAAATCTGGATGTTAGTTTCGAGGCACTAAGCCAGAAAATATCGGCTAAAGAGCCAAAATGTTTGGATTAGTGGTTCCAAAGAGTGTCGCAATCTTCTATCCTGATACTCAAAATGCTTCTCTTACTCACCTCCCCCTACGGATCTGCTGCCATAATTTTTCTTTTGGTGAGAACTTGTCCTGTGAATGTTTCTTCACAATGGGAATGTAACAAGGCACAATAGCTTTGGCGCAACTCTGCACAAACTGAAAAACTTCTTCTTTTGAAGGCGAGTCCAAATCATCAAAGAAGATGCCTCCTATTCCCCTCCGTTCTCCACGGTGTGTGATATAAAAATATTCGTCACACCTGTTAACCCCAATAGTGCTGGTTAAATGGATAACATAGACACAGAAATCTGAAAGACTGAGTCAAAATACAAGAAAACAACCTAGTGGGACTGCTTTATTTCAAAAGTAAACTTACTGTATTACTAAACAGAAAATATTGCAATGTTTTCTAAAACTGTTTTAAAAACAGAAAGACCTTTAAGCACTTTCCTGGGTAGAAGAGAGAACTATTAATTTCAAGAGCTAAATATACATTTAGCTTCATCAGTTCCAAGAATGAAAGAAAAAAATTCTGATATGAAATTTCTACATACCATTTCTTGAACTTAGGATATAGCTCAGGATTATGCTGATCACAGGCATCCTTCAGAGTTTTATGAAAATGAATAGCATCTTCTTCATTCAAGTAAGTTGGCGTGAGGTCTGTTCCACCACCAAACCACCATTGTTTAGCACCTAAAAGAACAGAAAAGGACCATCATTTCTTTTTCTTATTTGTTTTGTAGATACTCTTGTAAGAATCATCATGTCCATTTAGTTACAACTCATCTTTAATGCAGAAAAACAGCTATTATGATCTTAAGGACTTAATTTAACTTTAAGAGACTCATTACATGCATAGTTACTCCTCAGGTTTAATGTCATACAAAGGCAAACAAGTACAGCGTGCATATAAAAAGAAAGATACTAGTTCGGTTTCTTGGACACACAATTTATCTCTCTCCAAAAAAAGTTTCTTAAAATAAGACCTTCCTTGTAAAATCTTGTGCTCAACAACTACTACCTTATTTTTTTTTTTCCAATACAACTAGCCTTTCTGAAATTTGTGAGCATGTGAATATGGCGCTAATGGGTGTGATAGTGTCTTTGGACAGCGCTGGCCCAATGGCCCTTGAAACAGAGATGAGCTAACTACCTTCTATAGTCGCTTATGACTAATGGAGTAAAATCTGTAGGGATTTTTACTGTTAATCATAAAGCTTCTTTTGTCTGTCTCTACTATTACTAACATGTCAGGAGTATCTCATCAAAATGATAACAGTAGCATCAAATGCAAGCTCAGCCCTCTTTGAGCATGCATGCAATGTCACAGTACACAAAAAAGAAGAAGGCTCAAGCATGCAACTTCTCCCTTGGGTAGTTTATATAACTCTGGATCAAGGTATAGCACTTACCATCTGCATCTTCAATTTCAAAGTATCTGTAATTGAAGTGTATAGTGGGAATGTAAGGATTCTTTGGATGAATGACAGAACTCACTCCCATAGCACAAAAGGGCAATTTTCCTAAATAGCAATGAAGAAAGAATGTCTTAGTCAACAGTGAAAATGTAAGTCCAGAGCTACTGTGAATCAAGCAGCATATAAATATAATAACTATTATGCATAATAAAACAATTCAAAAACAAAACAAAATTGCAAGCTTTCTAAATGTCCTTTTGACTCTGGATTTTACATTCCAGAAGCACCTCTGGATCTGCAACCTCTAAAAGAAAAGACATAATTGTTATTTAACATTTTGCAAGAAATAAGTTAATATGTCTTGCTATTCCGAAAAGAGTTTGAAAAAGATCTGAGGAAATTTCATATTTTTGTGTCAAGAATTTGCTATGACCCTCATTAACCAGAAAAAAATCATACTGATCTCAGTAGAGTTGACGTTGATATTAGCATGCAAAGAACTATCTATATCCGAAGAATACTTGTATGGTGGACTTGTGCCTAGCCCCCATGGGAAGCTGCATGATGGATTAGATTCACTTTTTGTTTAACTCAATAAAAGTTGTTAGATTCTTTAGCAGATTTCATGTATGAAACCTTACCGCTTTTGGTCTTCAGAGTTTTCCCCCTGCTTCTCATCTGCTGAGCTGCTTCTTCAGAAAGATGTCCAAAAACGACTGAAACGTTGACACCAGCCTTCTCAAAGATTTCGCCATCTTGAAGTACACAGGTGATGCCTCCACCACCTATTAAATAAAGAAACCAGCAATTATTTCAATGGCTAACTGATTTACAAATTTTAGAATAATATTTTCCAATTATGGACCTCTTCAGTTATCAAACAGATCCTTTGTTTTTGAATGCAGGCAGTTTTTGTCAGGAGTAGCAATTGGCTTACAGGAGACCCAAGGAATCAAATTCTGTTACTCTTCGCTATGGCCTCCCAGCAATTAATTTTACAAGGGTACTAGGAATTGTGTGTAATTCAAGCAAGAACTGATGAAGGTAAAACTGATGTATTACATTTGCAGTCTCCGTGGCAAGACCTGGTTTATTTATTCAGAACCAACAAAACTGTTTTCTTTGCTTCTTTTGGGGGAAAAGGAAGCATAGTTAAAAATTTCACTGCCACAATGCCAAAATAATAAAAGTAGAGGTCAGGCACATTCACTGCCACAATGCCAAAATAATAAAAGTAGAGGTCAGGCACATTCTATTCAGCTCCTTTCCCAGCAGCATAGCATCTGAGGCATAAGACAAGTTATAAATGATAGTCTGTCTCTTAATTACTCTTAATTACTCAAAGATTTCAAAAGTGGTTTGCTACTGCCTCCTTCCTAGGGCCGAGAACGTGTGGCCCAAGATCACCAAGTGGCTTTATTTCTAATGGTCTTCTGGTTTATAGCCTGATGCCTTAACCACTATGCCAAACTGTCTCACTAAAGCTGTATATTAAAAGAGATAAAATTATGCTTAGTAAAAAATACTGGACATAAATTTTGTTGATCAAATTCGTACCACTTAAATGTCCTTCAGTAATGTCTAAATAATATCAATTGTGTTTCCTGAACAAGGACATACCACTGATTCCTTTTTTGGTCTGTAAAAAAGTAGGGGAATAATATTATACCTTTTACCTTTATGTGGCAGATAAAAGAGGGTAGAGGCAATGCTGCAATCAACAGCACACAATCAAAGTATTACTGTAGTATTTCATAACACAAACAGGTCTTTGCAGGAAATTTTGTATTACAGATACAAGCACACACAAATCGACAAAGAGTCAGCTTGATGTAGTAGTTGAGGTCATGGACCTCAACCTGGGAGATCCAGGTTCAAATGCACCTTCACTACAAAAGTTCACTGGGTGATTTTGAACCAGTTGATCTTTCCAGCCCAGTGTACCTCTCAAGCTGTTGTGGAGAAGAATTGGAGGAAGGAGTTCCATGTGTATCTCTTTGAGTTCCAGAAAGTACAGCATGAATCTGATAAATTATTTGCATCAATCTAGATTTAATCACTTGATATAGATTAAAGGATGTTGGGCTCTCTAGTTTTCTTAGTAACAATACCAATTTCTGGTAGCACCTTTTCCAACTAAAAAAATATTGAAAGGCATACATTATCATGAGTTGCACATCTATGCCTTTTAAATTAAATTTGTTAGTTATAAAGTTGTTACCAGAATCTTCCTGATTTTTTTTGTTTGCATCATAAAACCAACATGGTTCTCCACCTACATAATACATACATGTTTTGCTGCTATCTTTTTGCAAGACTTTACAAAATATTTAGACTAGTTACCTAGTTACCTCTTATCCAAGTACTATATTAACTAAGTGCCACTCTGCAGGGCTGAGGTCGGTTTCCCACTACCCAGCTGGGTCTTCTATATTTTGTATTCCTGAAGATCCTTGAAGCAGTTTTTACTATCCTCCAAGTCCTTAGCCCTTTTGACACCTATCTCTTGGTGTCATGCAGAATCTTGGGCACTTCCATGCTGCTTTGCTTGCGTGTGTTTTTAAAACGGAATAAAAAGAAGTTTCAAAATGACTGAGACCTTTGAGGTGTTTATTACAATCTTGGATCTGCTAAAGGGAAAATAAGAATGCTACTCTATTCAGTGAAACTTGTGACCGAATGAAGAGGCCAGATTTCAGATCTAGCCACATTGAGTTCCACACCGGCAGGCAGGGGCAATTACTCCGAATTAGTTCCAACCTGCAGAGGTGCCAGTCAGTGCGCGGCCCCCGAGAAAGGAACGCGCCCCCACTCTACCCCGGGATTCGGGTCACCTTCCTTCCTTTCCCAGCGGTCCACGGTGAAAGCGGCGCCGCGGTCGACCTGGGCCAGCGCGTTGCACACCTGGCTCTGCGTCTCCATGATGAGCAGCTCCATGCGACTTCGCATGTCTCCGCGCCGGTCGCGCAGCTCTCGCAGCCCGCTCACCGGAGGAGCCATGAAGCCCTCGCACAGTCTTGCCAGGTCCTCCTCGTCCTTCTTTCCCCACGGCTTTTCCGGTTCTACTTGTTGCTGCTGTTGCTGCTGCTGCTGCCGCCGAGGCTGCTCCTTCATCTCCGCCCGCCGCATCAGTCCCAGCCCGGCCAGCACCGCCGTGGCTCCCGCAGTCCAGACGAACGCCGATCGCTGCCACCGACCATCACCCCAACGGGAAGAACCGCCCGGCGGCGATTCCCAAGAGCCAGAACTGAAGATCCTGGAGCAGCGCGGACCGGACCGGAGCCTGAAACCCCGGCCGCCAAAGTGGCGAACCCCGCACAACAGTAAAGACATGACAGCGAGCGCCCGGTTCCTTCAGCAAGCCGTCCGGATGGGCGCCAAGCCAGGAAAGTGCGCTGCGCACGCCCCTTCAGCTGCGAGCCCGGAAGGGGTGGGGAATGCAGAGCTATCATAAGCTCACGGGGAGGGAGTAGTTTCACTGGCAATCGTGCCCATCTCTTAACATTGCATTTAGACTACAACTCCCAGCAGCACCCGTGGGATAAAAGGGGCGTAAAGAAAGCGCTACGTTTCTTGAGGCGTGGGGCAGAATTCGCGTAGGAAGAGAAGGTTGCAGCATCGTTGCGTAAAAATTAACAGGGTGTTTTCTTTACCTTCTCCTCGTGGTGGTGGTGGAGAGGTTTGTCAAATTCAGCGGCATGTGGCTCGTCATTAAGCATGCTTAAGCTTTTCAAACGTGGGACTTAGTTGCGACAAGCAGAAGAGTACAATGTGTTTATTAATTGCCTTCCGTCCCGCGTCCTGCAGTGTGTTGGTAATGGTTTGGGCTTGGTAAGTTGTGCAAATTGGTAAGTTGTGCAAATTGGTAAGTTGTGCAATTGTCCTTTGAGTTGAATGAGACCGAACGCCTATTTGGAAAGGGCATGTAATCTCGCTCGAGAGAAAAAACAACAGACAAGAAGCGATAAAGTGTGAATAACCAACAGAGGGTGGAAAAGGGAACTAACTTCCCAACTGTTACCCTCTCCTTCTCCAGATAAGGGCAAAACTGCTTTTGAATTCTGGTATTGCTCGGAAAGGCAGGGGATTCCTTACAATAGAAGACATCACAATTTCTACCCCTTCCTACTTTTTCTTCTTCGCTTGGACATACATTATGGAGCTTCGGCTTGATACAGAAAGGCACAAGCAAACACCTCCGCTTGGTCCCTTTGAAAGCCGGAAGGCAGGGATGAACCAGCAGCCCCCCCCCCCCCCTCCCCCCCCCCGCCCTCCAGGCAATAAATGGGTGCAAAAATAGGCCCAAGGAGCTGGGTAGAATAGCATCTGTAACAAGCTACAATGGGGTCAAAAGAATTACCAAAAGTTGTGCCATTTAATCAGTGGTCCAATAATGTAATGATGTTGGCCTTATGAGGTAAACCAGACAGGAAGCAGGCCAGGTGAGTTAATTCTACTTTTTTCTTTGGTTATGTTACAGATCTTTCAAGTGAGTACATTTCTAACCAGCACCACCCCTTCTCTTTATATCCCAAGAAACCGTTCTGTGTTCACATTCCTGCCCTGGGCTAAGTTGTCTTTTATCTGATTTTCCGTTTCCCAAGGTCATTCCCACATACAAGATTTATCTGATGCAGATTGATAAATTGCAACATTTGCACAATCATGTCACAATGTACATCATCATCTACTCTTCCTTGTGCCTGGGACCTGTCCCCCCCCATCCCCCCATGATACCCCCTCTCCTAAAAGTATGACTTTTATGGCCCTGATAGGGTAGACGCAACAAAGGTGCACACCTTTTGGAATGGAGCTGGATTTATACATTGCGATGTACCATAAACCTGACAATCACCATGATTTATTGTAGTATGATCCTTAGACAACACATGACTCGGTCATCGTTTCAGAGACATTTCCTTGCCGGATTCCTCAATGCCTTCAACAATGGCAGAATTAATGTACTGACTTCACTGGAAAAATTAGGATACATTCAGAGATTGTAAACAGCAAACATTGAACTGTATAGTGCAATCAAAAATCACTAATTGGCCAATTTGGCAAATTATAAAATTTGCCAAATTTGAGTCATGTTTCTGGATTTTGGACCCATTGTGTAAGTTAGTCCATTTGAGATACATTGGTTCAAAATTATTGCCCTAGAACACAGGTGTCAAGTTCGCCGCATCACATTGCTGTCACATGATGCTTCGCAATGTTTTTCCCATTTATGGAGCTGGGGTGGGCGTGATGCATCCGACCCATGGGCCACCAGTTTAACAACCCTGCCCTAGAGTGCACAGTTTCAGTCTCATGTTCCTTCCTCTTGCAGCACTCTACCAGCCAAAACGGGGCGCAGGGGCTCCTGTGCCCCGTTTTGGCCAGCAGAGTCCTGCAGGAGGCCACCCAGGCCAAAAACGGGGTGTGGAAGGTCACATGTGACTCCTGTGGACCTTCAGGGTGCTGCAGGCGTGTCCTATCTCCTCCACCCCCACTTTCCCTCCTAGCCAGCTCATGGAGAACTACAATGCTGATCCGGCCCTCGAAGAAATCCAGTTTGACACCCTTGTCCTAGAAGCTTGCTACTCAGACAGATCAGCCACCAACAGCACATAGAGGGATGGAATGGAATGGAATTCTTTATTTCCAAGTGTGATTGGACACACAAGAAATTTGTCTTTGTGCAAATGGTCTCAGCGTACATAAAAGAAAAGATACATTCGTCGAGTTAAAAATCATAAGGTACAACACTTAATAATAGTCATAGGGTACAATAAGCAATCAAATCATACTAGGAAACAGTTAATATAAATCGTAAAGATACAAGCCACAAAGTTACAGTCATACAGTCACAAGTGGGAGGGAATGGGTGATAAGGAATGATGAGAAAATTAATAGTAATGCAGACTTTGTAAATAGTTGGACAGTATTGAGGGAATTATTTGTTTAGCAGAGTGATGGCATTTGGGAAAAAACTGTTCTTGTGTCTAATTGTTCTGGAGTGCAGTGCTCTATAGCATTGTTTTGAGGGTAGGAGTTGAAACAGTTTATGTCCAGGATGTGAGGGGTCTGTAAATATTTTCACAGCCCTCTTTTTGACTTCTGCAGTATACAGGTCCTCGATTGAAGGTAGGTTGGTAGTAATTGTTTTTTCTGCAGTCCTAATTACTCTCTGGAGTCTATGTCTGTCTGGTTGGGTTGCAGAACTAAACCAGATAGTTATAGAGGTGCAGATGACAGACTCAATAATTCCTCTGTAGAACTGTATCAGCAGCTTGTACACACCAAGCAAAACAGACAGTCAAAAAGGTAAAAAGGAACCAAAAAGACCAGAATACTTCCTCACCAGCAATGAATACCCAGATTAAACAAGGTTTAACACCAGGATTTATACCAGATTGACAAACAATACCCAAGTCAAGGAACTACCAACTACCAACAGGGACAAGCAATCAAACAGAGTATATTGTATACCATTGTATATAAAAAGAGAACAAACCCACTCCCTTCTAGCATTGAAGATATCATTTGATTGGGTAATGTCTGCAAAAAAACAACCACCTCAGCACCAAGCTCAGCAAGCACCAGATATTTCAGTCCTGAGCTACAAATATTTTTTTTCTATACATTATTACATTTTATATTTGTTATATTTATATTTTAATATTTTAAAAACTCTGATTGCAATTGGTTTCCTTTGTAGTGCAATTTATATCTAGTTGATGTATGCATTTAAATGTAATTTTCTAAGAGAAAAGACATTTCACCAGATTGTCAAAAAGATCTATGGAAGAAAAAAGAGTTAAGACCTTTTGCTCTAAATAATTATCTGGGAATAATTCACCCTTTTAAATTGCTCAGAAAAATGAGGAAGATAGGATATGAGAGGAAAATATAAGAGATTGCTATTCACTGACCATCTCTTCAATGGCCTTTTTGTTTAAAAAATAAATATGGCAATATTAAACATTAAAAATAACTAAGCAAAAAAGAAGTAATTGTAATTAATACCTTTGTCTAGAGGAAGATAACCTTCTAGATTTTCAGTTTTAACAAGTTTGTACAGCCATTTGGAATATTTACAGTAATTTTATATAAGCTCACTGCAAAGTTAAGGTAAATTCCTACGGTCATTTCTAAAGGGAAAAAAACCATAGCATTGGTGACATTCAAGCATCCTGAAATAAGTTGATCTGATTAAAATAAAAATTCTAATTTATTATTACCATCATTATTATATTTTCATCATTAGAAACTAATTTTTTAAAAATTACCTTGATTTTATGTCAAAGTTAAAATGCTTACAATTTTCACTCGTGCTTGAAAAAGCATGGATATAGCTGCTCAAATTTTGCTTTATAGAAAAAGGCAAGTAAGTACCCATCTCAATTTAAGCCATTCTGGGTTTGGTCCCTCCAGCCCCAAACCTCAGTAAGGTAAAGGAACTGCCTCTAATTCGCCGCACCTGCCTATTCCATTCCCCCACACCATCTCTGCGCTTTTGGTTGCCCTGGACACTATGCATACAGGCCACACCTAGGAAATCTGCAGCTGCCCCAGCTCAATACCAGCAAGAAGATCTTTGCAAAGGGGTTGCTCTTGCTCCTTGCTGGTGGAATGTGAAGCCCAGCTTTGACTAGAAGTTTTTTTATGAAGAGGCTGGCATGGCCATGGGTCTATGTTTTGCCTCCTCCCTCCCACACACAAACTGCAAAGCTCCAGCCCAGCAGCCAGGGTGGGCATGCCTTGTCAGCAGTGAGAGCAAGATGGCAAAGGTCAGTTGGGGTGGTGGGCTTAGATGGGGCTGGAGATGATGGATAGGTGGGAAGAGTTGAAGCACCCCTGCAGTTTGTAAGTGCAGTCAGGCTCCTAAAAGCAGCCAAATGTTTATTTACGGTTTATTTAATTTTAAATGTTTATTTTATTTAAGGTCACCTAGCTGGCTAAAACTATGATCTACCAGCCTGGTACCTTAATTTCCAACTAGCTCTTATATGAAATAGAATAGATGGTCTTATAAATCTTGTAACGGAAGGGAAGGGAAGGATGACACAAGCCAATAAAAGTTGCAGCTTTTGTAGTAAGAGTTTTGCATATAGGCAAAGGATCTCAAATGTGATTGGGAGACAGGAGGGTCAATTGACAGTTTTTTTGATTGTCTTCTGCTAATGCCCTCTTCATCTTTTGCTTAACCTGACTGGTCCATTTGGCACATCTTGGTTGACTTACTGGAGAAGTTGAAGGAGTGAAACAAGTCTTTAGGTACACCTGCCGAGTGGGAGACTTCAAATATAGACAAAGTGAAAAATGATAGTACTCTAGATAAGGAAGTCCTGTACTTTGAAATTTTCTGCATAGGATGGAAAGTTCAC